CAATAAGTCATATCACTATCATGACCACAGGCTGACCCGGCGCAAATATTTGATGTGCTATATAATATGATGTTCATCGCCACCCATAGCCCTCGACTCAAGCTGTGCAGCCATTGAATACAGTTTTGCTAACAACACCGTCCAAACAGAGGTGTCACGTGACACGCAGGGAGATGACACTCATATTTATTCATTTTGACATTTTAATGAACTTCCAGTGTTCAAAGCGTACATATAATTTTTCAAAATGCGTGCACCATTTGTTGGCACTAGTTATTGCAATGTGGTTACTCAGTGCCATGGAGACCATCTGCATGTCATTTAGTTACATTCTCTGGATCCAAGGCAAAAGCATCAATTAGGGATCTACTGTTCTGATTTTTCTGTTCAAGACACCGAAGAGTGACCCCCACCCCACCAGCTCCCGTCAGAGTCAGGATATCAAATGGTCAGTTGGGCACTTCTGGTCAATTCATACATATATATATATACATGATCATAAGGGCATTGAACTTTTAACGGTTCGCATCGGGAAGATGTTGGGTTTTTTATAAAGAAATTTGAAATAGACGGTATTTATGTGTATTCCCTCAATTTGGCCAAATAACACGATATTATTGTTGTGTATTATATATACTTATAAACTTTATCAGTATGATGATCCAAATGCAATAGTAATTGTTGTCCAAAGTACAGTAAACTACGGTTATAACGAATTCAAAGGGACCACTAATTTTAGTTCGTTATAACCGTAATTCGTTATAAGCATATATACAGCATAACTACAGCATCTAGTCTGGACTAAAAAGTTAGTTCGTTATATCCGCTAGTTCGTTATAAGCGTGTTCGTTATAACCGTAGTGTACTGTACGTAAGCATCACAGGTTTGAAAGCGTGAACATCTCTTGTGTGCGTTTTGGTTTGGTCCCTCACATACAGACAAATGATTTAGGTAATTGGGCCCCTCACATGCAGCAAACATCGCTTCCTGATTCCCGAAGCACGTTAATCAATATATAAACGCCATGGAAATACTCGGATATTGATGATCCATACGCGCGTCGCCCCGCTCTTGTGTCACAGCCAATGCACACCGGAGAAACAAATTACTATTACATCACACAAAAGAGCAAGAATGAAACTCAGAGGCTATGTGACCCTTCTACTCAAAATAACCACAGATGTTTGCACAAACTTAGCTACAGATCCTTTACTACTCAAACAGACCGATAAGTAAATAAATTATAGAAAATTGCAGAGAATTCAGCAGATGAACTAGACAGAATTGAATAAAATCATTTCCGTTTTTAAAAAAACAGCCTACCCTGTCTTGCAACTTTGCACTAGCATCTTGTCTTACAGATGGACATGCAGGGAGGATTGATTCTATTGTCTTGCATAACGATCTTCATTGTGAGACGAATCAATGGGACGAGCGCTGTAGCCACATGCTAACATACTCGCAGCTAGTGTTAGAGAGCTCTTCACATGAACACATACATGGTATTGATACATTCTCAACAAATCATGGCATCAACAGCGTTGTCAAATAAACCGTCAACAAACATGTTCAAGGAATTCCAGAGTTAGAGGACACGATGACTTCCTTCTTGGCCACTGATGTTTATAAAGTTGTATTTCACCAATGTGGCCAAAGAATGCTCATTTTATCTTGCATATAACATTTTCAGCACTTTTGTCAATGAAACTTAAGCTGCTAAAACCTCATTTCGTTTGCAGTGATTTAACTTAATAATCTAAGATGTAAATGTGATGTTTTTATATGAATATTTCCACTATATATGAATGTAAATGCAAAATTAGCGATGCCCTATGTGTGCAACCCAACGTTGTGCAACGCTTTTATCAAAATATTAGCCAATGTTTATCTTATAATTTGAAAAGATGCACTGCTTCTGATTGGTGTTTTATTTGCTACTAATCCTTCTCTTCGAATGCTTGTAGTTGTTGTGCATAATCCTTGTGTAGTGACCTCTATAACTGCCTCTTCACCAGCATGTGTCTGGTATCGTCCTGTCCCTAAACTCGGGCGTGAGTCTTCCTTTCAGCTTTTGTCTCTACTGGGAATCGGGAGTGCAACAACATGACACTGTATACAGCACACATTACTGTCAGGGCTCAGTGTGTCGACCGCCGCTCAGTCTCCTGCTGCTTCAGCATCTCCATCACCTCTCAGGCCTGGCATCTCCTTGCCTTCATCCTCTTCCTGTTCCCTGGACCAGAAGCTTACTCTACCCGTCTCCCTCCTGTCATGCATCTTGCTGCCCTTCTCATTCTCTTTCATCCTTTCCCTTTGGCCTCTCCTGTCCTGGCCATCGCCCCTCATCGTCTTTTCCATTGCTTTGGTGCTTTTTGACAGATCCTATGGATCTGATACAGACATATTTGTACTGTTTTCTACTGCGGGTAGTGGTGTACAAACATCCACTTACTCTCTGGACCTTACCACCACCACCACCCTCACCTTAACCCTCACCCTCAGCGTGAATTCTCAACTCTCTACCCTCATCTTCATGTCTTGTCACTCTATTGCATCATGTCACTCCTTTTGTTCATTGTCACACACTCTCTTCATCACTCAATCTAATGGTTTCACATGCACCCAGTCACCATCACTGAAGGATTCGCTGTTCACCACACTGTACGTCTTTGCATCATAGAATGGCTCTCGAGTACACCTTCTCACCCAAATACCCATGCACAGGCACTCACACTCCTATATAATATCACACTGTCATTCTTTATCCAGGCTATCCTAAGTCATCATGACAAGTCTAATGGGAAGTAAATTAGGTCCAGTAACATATTGCTTGTCCTAAGAGCAACGAAATGGGACAGGTAGCTGGGATCAATGACTCAGTTGATTGCATATAATCGATCCATGCTGGCATGGGACTTTGCTAATATCAACCTATGGTTTGTCTGGATCCGACTTCCTTCCATGTCTATCTATAGCCTTCATTGGATTCTCGTCTTCTCGAACTCTTCGTTCTATTCCACCCGTAATTACTCCTCCTGAAGTCTTCATTGTATTCCACCCTTAACGACCCCTTTTGAAGTTTTGTTGTATTCCTCACGTAACTACCCCTCTTGAAGTTTAGTTGTATTCCTCACGTAACTACACCACTCGAACTCTTCATTCTTATCAACCCGTAACTTCAGGGTGTGTACAGGTCTGAAGCATTTCACACACATTTTGCCCATACAACTGCTGCTTCCAATATGACTGAGGGGTATGGGTGGTCCATACATCTAAGGTGCCGCAGATTTGCGTCCCTTGGACACGCTAGAAACCTATGATTGTGGGTTTGAATCCCGGTTCACCTCGATCATGTTTCTAGGTTTGTCAGGACCATACCCGTGCTCGTGGGTTTCACCGCAGTGGTAAACGTCTGAGACCTGCATCACTTCGGGCTTTCCTCCCACATTAATCTGACATGCCGTGATATAACTGGAATACTGTTAAAAGCAGCGTTAACTCACTCACTCCAACATGACTGAAAATCTGTCATAATCTTACATCCTAGATAAACATTTCTACTTCACTCACTCTTCCACCATTCTATACTTCCTAACACCCACAAGTGAAGCACAATCACAATCACAACGTCAACCACACCCTCAACAACAACCACAACAACAACCTCCCCAAACACACTCAGCCACAAAAGAGTCATTTTCACAATCAGTCTGCCCAAAACAGGCCATCAATCTCATTGCATTACAATTTGTTTTTCAAACGGTAACATCAAACTGTTGATCTCATGTCCGCTAGTTCCAAAAGTTCCTCCCTGTTTTGTTGAATCTGTTGCCTTGGTTTGAGATCTACATCATGTTTAAAGCTGCTAACCCCCTACATTTCCCACAAAAGCAATTTGATTTGATGCTGCCATGGTGTGATCTTGGAAACCTGCAATTCCATTAGCACTGTTATAGCGTCTTGTTTCATGAAGTGGCATTGTCTCATTGCAGGTTATTTTCCAGCTCGACAAGACATTTACCATGGAGTGTATAGTTGAAGTGTGATGTCCTTGTCCCCAATATTCCTCTTCTTGAACTCCTACTTTCCTTGCTGTCACTGCTATTAAATCGCATCTGCCCCGAATTTGTTCCCCTATTGTTACTTTGCTTTTGGTCCTCTTCAGTTCTCTAATACATAGATATTCGTATATTTGCCGAAACAATGACACGCCTCTATATTAAAACACATGTAATGGTGAAGTGTTTTTGCTATGATAAGATGTTCTAGTATTTCAGCAGGTCCATATTTTCGCATTGATCCGTTCCTTTCAATAGTTATGTTCATAACATGCTAGGTTGCACATGATCGGCTGTTCTTGAGTTCGAATCAAAGATCACCCCTACTTATGACCCTTAGTTTATTAGCACCATGATCGGTGACCACCAGTGAACAGTTTTCTTGCAAGAACTTCAATGTATTACTGGTTTGTCTCTGAAATATAGCAATGTCTCAAATATGCTGATATTTCAAAACATTTTGATTCTCTGACATCTTTTGCCTTTGCTTTCTCATCTCATGTCACTTTCCTGCGGGGTCATTTCTAAAATAATGTCACCCTATTACACAAGTAATACATCCTCACACCCCAAACCTAAGCCCCAAGCGCCCATCTCCATCCGTAATACCCATCCTATCAGAACTAACCTCCACCATTACTCACACCTTCGTGAACAAAACAGACTGTACAGTCTTGAGATGTGGGTACAGATTGCCTGTTCCTCTTCTTATCTGTACAAACTGTATTTCTCTAATTCATTCTATTGCCTTTCATCATCCCCTTCTAACATCTCAACCAGCTCCTAATATATGCTGCTGCATCATCTGCGACCTCTTCTCTGCTCCATCGTCATCACCTCCTCCTCCTCCTTCTCCTTCTCCTCCTCTTGCTCCGCCTTGCTTCCCTGTGGCGCCGCGTGTCCCGGCTAGTATGACTATACTGTGGTTAACTCTGTTTCAGGTATTGGCTATCATATCTATCCTGTTCATCGTGTTATCCACAATCGCGCTGACCCTTAATACCATCCCCCAGCTGCAGGAAAGACACAACCCGAAAGACCCCTCGGATAACTCCGAGCTGGCTGTGGTGGAAGCTGTGTGCATTGGCTGGTTTACACTAGAGTACTTAGCCCGATTCTGGGCGTCGCCAAACAAGTGGAAGTTTTTCAAAGGCCCTCTAAATGTGATAGACCTTCTCGCCATCCTACCTTATTTCATTTCCTTAGGATTAACCGAAACGAACAAAAGCACTACAGAGCAATTTCAAAATGTGCGACGTGTTGTTCAAATTTTTCGAATTATGCGAATTTTACGTATATTAAAACTTGCCCGACACTCGACAGGCCTCCAATCCCTTGGTTATACGTTGCAACGGAGTTACAAGGAGTTGGGCTTACTGTTGATGTTTCTTGCCATTTCTATTTTATTATTTTCAAGTTTAGCCTATTTTGCTGAAAAAGATGAGCCAGAGACTAAGTTCAAAAGTATACCGGAGACGTTCTGGTGGGCAGCCATCACTATGACCACTGTGGGTTACGGTGATATAGCTCCAACTACTGTCCTGGGGAAGATTGTCGGTAGTGTGTGTTGTATATGCGGTGTGCTTGTTATTGCATTGCCGATTCCTATTATAGTGAACAACTTTGCGGAGTTTTATAAGGACCAGATGCGCAGAGAGAAGGCGTTCAAGCGACGCGAGGCGCTAGAGAAAGCCAAGAGGACGGGCAGTATAGTGTCCTTCCACTCCATCAACTTGCGCGATGCCTTCGCCCGCAGTGTCGACCTCATGGAGGTCAACTCCCCCAGCCATAAGGGAGACAACTGCGGCGGGGATGACAGTAGTACAGACAGCAAGTGTGCTCCGAGTCCACCTCCTTGTGTGATCAAGTACAACCAGACGCAGTTTCCTCACACTGGCGCCGAGGACTGTGACGACGTCAAGGGGATGCCTGTCGACAACTCCAGCACCAACAACCTGCTTGATGCTGATGAGGAATCTCTTAAAAGGATGACGTCATCACAGCCACTTCTGAACTGCCAACCTCAGGTAAGTGTTTCTGTTTTACAGCTTAGCGTAACACCTCATATTTTAGTGCCCGCTATGACGCATGACTCTACTGGTCACAGACTACGTGACCAAGCACCAGCGTGCCCATATCACATCCTTCCCAATGCTTTCATTTCCCTCAGAATCCGATGAACCTAGACTTTGTTTTGAGGACGTAGAACAGAACAAATTAAAGGATCGTCAAGGCTGGACAAGTTACAAAACAGACCTTGACATGTGTTCACAGCAATGAGAACAATGTTGTCACAAAACATGCGCCCGAGATCCGACGGTTACCAGGGCACCATATCTTCCAACCCACACAAATAACAGGACGGCATCAATAGAAACAGAAACTGCATTACAACACCTATTGACAGTCCAAAGAATTGATTGTTACAAATATCGTTCTCTGATAAATGAACACCAACCCATCCTGTTTAGGTACGCTGCCCAATGACCATCTATTGATACACTTCAAGCACTGACATCAATGTGTATTATTTCAGGGGCAGGGGTGGCCAAGTCGCCTTAGGCGCCGCAATTTGCTGTGCAGAATTGCGTCTTTTGGGCACGACAGAAACCTATGGTTGTGGTTTAGAACCCCGGTTCGCCCAATTATGTTTCTTGGTTTGTCAGCACCATACTCGTACTCTTGGGTTTCACCAAAGTGGTAAACGTCTGAAACCTGCAACATGAAGCTGACAGGCTGAAATATAACTGAAATACTGTTTTAAGCGGCGTCAAATCCAACTCTCTGACTCCGTGATTCAATTAATAGAATTACTGGTTGCTATTTGTTGACTTTCGTTAAGAATCGGCCCTCTTCAACACAATCTACGAATCATTAATTGATCAATGTGTGTGCTTGGACTGTTAATCGGTAGTTTAAACTTTGAATGTGTTTGATTGCATTCTTCTAACAAATAATAATGTCAACCAATAACGACCTATTAAACCTGTCAGAAGAGGCCTTAATCAGATGCGTCAAGAACTAACCCTTTATATGCCTCATGGAGGTAACCATTTCATAAAATCGTTTCATTAATATTTCAACGATCATATGTTCTAAAGAAATTGGTTCCTTTTGGATGACCCCCAGAAACGCTTCCTGTTGGAGTGTTTCATGTCAGTAAGTTTGTAAAGTGAGAACGTATGTTTATGTTTAGCATCCAAAGCCGTTCTGGAGAAGGGCAAGTATTTGTACAGGACTTTAGTTCAGTTAGTGGCACAGGCAGCAGCTGTAAAAGCCTCACAACTGACAGCTGTACATTGGTCCATCACAGCTGACAGCTGTACAGTGTGTCAATCTCAGCTGACAGACGCTCTGCGGGAGTGATAGTGCTCAAAGTAACGGTGTGAGTTTGCCCTATTGTATTTGGGTCTTTTTGCTAACTCAACTGCTGATGGCGACTAAGAAGCTGTTAAGTAACTCCTATGGGCGACTGTCAGCTGTGAGTGATGCCTGTTGGCGCAACAATCGTCACTGCTTATGACAGACGTGGGCTCTAGAGTTTGCTTTTTTGCAGTGCAGCTGTGAACATAAACGCTTATAACAAGTGTGGAGGTAGACAGTGTTTGTAAAATTGTGGATGACCTTGAAGAGGTCACGTCTGACTGTAAATGGTACAGTGGCAGCTGTGAGCTCGCGATAATGTGTCTGACGGTGTCAGCAGCAGCTGTGATATTGACCAGCTGTTTTAGCAGCTGTGAATCCCACAGAAACTGCAGCTGTCAGCTTTGTGCATGGCAAAATACAGCTGACATACAGTGCAGTTACATTCTACACCGGAACTAGACACGAGTTATTTCCCTTTTGAAAAGCCTTGACGTGGTTCTAAGATGAAGTTTAGTTTCGAATTGACACTTCAAATTTCTTTTCGGAAAGCTCATCAATGTGATCCTAGTTCACGTTTATTTTTATACACACATGGGCGTCTATACCAACATAATTAAAAACATACTAAACCACACAAAATTGCTTTTGCCTTTATACATGCATAGTATTCCCTGTATTCTGAATGGAACTGCAACGTGTGTTTTCTGCCTACGGATGTGTATTGTCAGGTTCATATATCAGCACTCTGCTAAAGCTAACACACATCATTAGCTAGCCACTACTATGTAGCCTAGATTAATCATACTGTTATTAAGACTAGGTAGATAAGCATGCATGGTTGGAAATCAGTCAAGTTTCAGATCGTTATGTAGTTGTTGTTTTTTTCCAATTTCAACATTAGGTTTGTCAGCATGTAGGTTAGCAAGGGAGATTTGGCATGGCTCACGTGATTCCTAACTAGATAGACGACGTAGAAAGTTTAGAAAAGGATTCTTCCATTCAATTCATGACAGATGTACTGAACAAAAGAAGTTAGGGATCAGGAGTATTTTTAAGATTTTTTTGTGAAGACTGAGAACACAATTTATTAAAAATATCCCGAAAATAGTCATGATCCCTAATTTTATTTGTTCAGTATATATGTATTGTAGCGTATAATGTTCATCCCATGTAGATTGTTAGAGATACCATCACATCATCGACTTATATAAGGACTTTATGCATCGGTTACTCAGGTTTTCTTCATACTTCATCTCAAGAACTTTGATGACATGGCTTTGGAAACTTGGTTAAACACATTCACAGTACGAATACTGATGCTGGTGAATGTTTCTAAACATTCGCTACATGGACGTATGACTGAAAAACATGATGGGATACATGAAAGCCTGTGCCAGTGGATACTAGAAGATGGATGAGCTTGCTCGAGGGAAATATTCTTCTAACCTGCTGGGAACCTTGTTCTAAATATTCAGCCACACACCCCTTGGTTGGTCATAGATAAGGGTTAGAATGAATTCATATTTGTACACAATCATTCACCTTGCAGATGGTGGTGAAAGTAGTTATGTATAGTGTTGTATCTACATAATCTGTGCTTATGACACATTTTGACATCATGCTTCATGTGTCACATTATATTAACTTTAGAGTTGTCTATCACTGAGTGATATATTGTGAGTTGTGTCATTGTTGGTTAACCTGGTCGATATGTTCTTCCATTGAATTGTATGTGTGCTATTATTTAACAGATGTGACAGAATATTATATCTAGTTTGTGTCCGTGAAATATCGCGAATGGAACTGTGGGAGAAGTGCAGGTTCAGGTTCGAAATTGAATCAGGATGTTGCTAGGTTCAGACAACGTGTCCATCCCGATGTTGATATGGTGGCGGTTTTATGGTGGCAGAGGTATTGGTGGTGGTGTTAGTAGAGGTGGTGGTGGTGGTGTTAGTAGAGGTGGTGGTGGTGGTGGTGTTCGTAGTGGTTGTAGTTGTGTTGTTGGCGTGATGGTGAAGTTGCGTGGTCCTGTGGTGGTGGTGATGGTTGTTACGTGGTCTTGCGGTGGTGGTGGTGGTGGTGGTGATGGTGATGTAGTGGTGTGATGGTGCTAGTGGTGGTTGTGGTGAGGGTGGTGATGGTGATGTGGTGGTGTGATGGTGATGGTGATGTAGTGGTGTGATGGTGCTAGTGGTGGTTGTGGTGAGGGTGGTGATGGTGATGTGGTAGTGTGATGATGATGGTGATGTGGTGGTGGTGTGAGGGTGGTGATGGTGATGTGGTGGTGTGATGATGATGGTGATGTGGTGGTGGTGTGAGGGTGGTGATGGTGATGTGGTGGTGTGATGGTGATGGTGATGTGGTGGTGGTGTGAGGGTGTTGGACCTGTTCAAGGACACCTGTCGTCCTCAGCTGTGTGCTTCATTGGGCCGAGTTTCAAAGTACTTCTTTGATAGTAATTCTTGGTTTATGTTTGTTCTTCATTTTCTCCTGATGAAAGACCATGCTCTGTATCGGTGAATAGAAGCTAATGGATTAAATACGGGAACATTCTTTGTAGCATGGTACCACAACATGATTGCTGTGACAAGTTTGCTGAGCTCAGGGGAATGTTCTTTTAAAACTGAACTCACTGAATTATGACAAGGCAAATGCTTTCTGGCTGCATTTCTTTGCTTATGGCTAGACCTCCCTCTGCTGACCTAATAGTATGGACATATTTACTCGTTATACAACTGTATTGCTTTCTATGTATATAGCATCTGAACCAGCATCAGCCTCCTAAGATGTGCATGTTTCAAAGAGGGATTCACACGTTTGTTTAATATTCAGCAATGATTGCGAGCTAATTTCCGGATAAACTAGATGATGATGTGAATTTAAATACATATGACTGTAATTTTCCACTTGATAATGTTAATGATGCCGGTGGACTGAAAATGGCCAAACTGACTGGTGTTGACAAAAAGTCGTAACCTAAGAGCACTTCCAATGTTTCTGAGTCTAGCACAGAGTTGCCAAGAATGGCCAGAGGCTGGCATCCTGTATTGCAATTACCAATAACCAGCTTCCTTAAGTCTCCTTCCAGCGACGGTCCTCATAAGCATCTTATTACAAGAAACTGCCATAGCTCCGAGAGCTCCTAGCGTGGCACGTGCTTAAATAAGGCCATGATGACGTCAGGACACCATGCCCATAAGTCTGTATTAAACTGTAACACAATGAATGTAATTACTCTCGTCATCAGATTTTTGGTTTTGATGAATTCTTAAGTTTCCTGATTTTTAAAAAATGTTACAAATCCTGCAATCCGTTAAGAATAGGCATAGACGAAAGCCGTGTCTGGTCTCTCGCGCACCTAGAGCCAATGGTGAGAATTAGAATCCCTATAATGAATAGTAGGAATAAGAGAAATGTATCGTGTTGCCGGGGAACAAGAAATAGTGTCTTAAGAAGCTTGTGTTGAAATAGTGTGTCCATCTAAGGATCTGTTTCTGTATATCTGAGTATATAAATGACCGCATGAATATAAAAGTAACGTCATATTGGCAGTGTTTCAGCAAAACAGTCACTGTAAAAACTTTCATTCACAACATATATTCATTTTAATAAGGGCAGTTAGGATCGTTACGGGGATGTTTTATGGCTTGTACAGACTATA